GTCATCTCTCCAGCCCTGACTTTTGAGTTTCTTGCTTCTGATTGGTGGTGAGAAGACTACATAAACAGGGAGTTAGGTGTAAGGAAACCAAGGACACCAGCAGCTGTGTCTTAGTAGCCAGCTGTGTCCCATTATGGTCAGAGCACCTGCCTATGGTTCAACATCCCGGAGGCTGAAGATATTCTCCTCTGCGTGTCAGAAACGAAGACAGCAGGACACTTTCCCAGTTCCCACGTGTATACTAACAAGAGACCTTAGCTTCATTACACAATCATTTGCACAGCGGTTTTCACACCTTTGAGAGCTTGTCTGGAGGTTCTACCAGGGGAGTGCAGCTACCTTTGACCAGGGACAGTCCTCCTCTATGGCGGAAGATCATCCTCCTACACTGGGAAAGGCTGTCCTCTTCACCTACTAAGTGTATAGCTTCAGGAGGGAGGTAGGGACACCCACCTAGCCAGCCAGATCAGCCAAATCAACCCCAGTGATAACAGTGACAAACATCACAGCCAGAACTCCTTTACACCCCTGACTCCCCTGATGGGCTTTTCAAGAAGATCATGGGAAGAAATAGCCTACAAAATCGTCACTCCTCCACGGTTTGGGAGTACGCAAATGCACACAGACCTCTCTAAAAGTCTACAACACCAGGACCCAGTGGGCAGCTTCCACCCGTCAGGGTCGGCCTCCACTCGCCTGGGGTGGCCTGCTCTACTCTTTCTTTGAAGTGTATTATGATTTTGATTTGATAAAAACACACTTCTGCTCGAAGGATCTGGGTTTTCTCTGATAAATCCTTTCCTTTGTGAGATCTCTGCCCCCACTGTTTGAGAACAACCCCCTCTGAAGTGCATATCCAGAGGGCAGGAGCTCTGTGCTTCCTTCTGCCCACGGTCTGTTCCCTGCGGTATCTCCTGGGCTGAGAAAACACAGCAAGAAATCCCAAGTGAGCTGCACAGAATGAGGAACGGGGGGCGGGGGGGACAGATCTAAGAGCATCAGCAGCCACGGTTGTACTCCCCAGGGCAGGAGAACGGTGACCCCTAGGAACCCGGCATAGCAGAGTGGAGACTGCGCACGCTCGCTGGGGTGTACATTGAGTGTATACAGAAAGGACTGGCCTAAAAGAGACACAAAAGACACTAGATAGGAAGGGGAGCAAGGAGTGACATGCGGCATTGGTACAGGGGAGGTCGTGGTGGGAGGGAGGCCTCCAGAAGATGCCAGTATCCCCGCTTCAGGTAAAACTCAACTGAAGAGGAAGTATGTTCACAAACCTACGCCTTCCCCTGCCCCTGGAAGAGTTCAGAGGACGTCATTTTTTCTTTGTTTCTTCTCTTGGGGTCAGTTAAGGGATGGGGTGCCGCACCCACAGCTCACCGGCACCCTTCTCAGCCATGGTCCGCCTCCACCACGGCCCGGAGGGTCAGAGGGCTGGTCACTCTCTACTGAGCAACGTTCTTGCCCTCAAGGGGCACCAAACATGCTTACGGGACTTGGCTCTATTGCTTGGCTGCAGGCTGCCCCTTTAGACAGATGCTATGGGTATAGCAGTGGATACACACCCAATGGCTGAGAGGCCAGTGAGCTGGGTACAGAGGGGAGAGAACTTCCCTAAGACAGTGGAACAGAACTGAATGGTACCAACTTATTTTCCCTTCGCATGCCACAGGTTATGGGCCACAGACAGGGCATGCTGGAAGCTCTCAGCCACCAATGACCCGCAGGCAGGCCAAGGCATGACAAACAGCTTCTCAATTGGGTCAGAGAGACCCTGTAGTGGACACAAAGACTGGGCATGTCCAACTGTCCACAAATAAGAAAGCAATACGCAAGGCCCAGGTGGCCAGTGTGTGAGGGTCCTGGCTACCAGAAGCCCCCAACAGTAGTGGGCACCGGAGATACACAACTCTTTCTTAGGGGTGTACCGGTCACTTTAGGGGCATGAGCCTCATGTAGAGTGGTCCATGCTGTGGTACTATAAAGGGACTGGCGAAGCCCGTGTCCACATTGCGTCTGCCTCCAAGAGCCTGACCCTTGTAAAGACAGACCCCACACAGCACATCCCTCCTCTGTGAATTCTGTCCTAGCCTTCCCGGAGCTTCTGGTAACAGCTGGGTCACTGTCAACCCCAGCTCTGTGTCCTTTGCGGATCCGTCATCCTTCCAGTTTTCTAAGCCTGATTCTCCTGTTTGGACATCCTATTTGGACAGCCTGGAGGGGCTGAAGAAAAGGCCTTGAAGCTGTGCCTCAGACATAATACCAGGAGGTCCCAGAGGGAAGGAGAGAAGCACAAAAGCCGTCAGGGACAGTTAAAAGCTCATGGGCACTGAATGCCCATGTGTTGGGGAGAAGAAGTCCCTCAGACTTCAAGTGACAATGAAAGCGTTTCTCCTATCGCTAGGGCCCTCTTCAGTGTACATCTCCAAAGGAGAGCTGACCCAGCCCCTTAAGAAGAACTCTGAGGAGAAAGGACATGAGCTCGCCTCAGTTGCGTTCATTTCATCTCCACACACATCTCTCCCTTGCTGAAGTCCCCACCACCCACAAGCGCACTGCTGGGACACTTCCCAATTATCAGGATGCTTTGCAAAACCCCAACCCTCTCATCGCCACAGGAGGATCAACTGAGGCCACCCTCATCACGTATGCAGCCCACGACCCGTAAGCACTGCCTCCCAGCCCTGGGGCCAGCTCATCAGGACTCCGGCCACCCTATCTGCCCCCAAGAGGCTCAGCCTTTGTAGATCTGCCTGTAGACATTCCAAGACCTCAAGGCCACAGGATACACAGTGTCCCCATTTCTACTTCTGTGTCCTCACTACTGGGGGCAGCGAGGCAAGCAGCACCACTTCCGCACAGGCTCCTCTGCCAGGGACGGCAGCAGTGGCTGCCACCGCGGCTCCACAGCTCGGAGCACCGATCTCTTTACAAGTGTTCTGATTTCCCTGCATGAATCAATCGTTCAGCAGGTTTTCTTGCCTCTGTCCCGTTCCCCGTGTGGAAGTCTCCTTTGTGTTTTCCCCTCTGGATTCTTATTCTTAGTTTCTTAGGCAGCCATTTAAAGCCTTCTCGTAGCAGGGTCCTCTGCTTGTTCCCCTGTCTCCTTACTTGGCTCTTACATGGTTTCTCTGACTTTCAGTGGAAATGTATTCACTATCCAGTGTTAGAAGTTTCAGTTTTTGGTTTAAGGAAACTGAATGAATAACTGTGATCTGAATACTAAAAGTCTCAATGATAGAATTTGCTGGAAAGAAAAAAAAGAAGAAATCAGCAAGATTGGATAGCAGAATGTAGATTTAAAAAAAAAATCAGACATTGCTTCAAATCTGTCCCCAAAGCAACTTCTAATATACAACACCCTCCCCCTGTCAAACAGAATAAAGTGAGACACACTAAGGAGGAGACCGTGGGATATGGCAGTGAGCAGACGCAGACTTTGGCCAACCGCTTGGCTGTCTTCCCCGCAGGTGCGGGCGCGCACAGTGTGAGTGTGCTGTGGGTGGGTGGATGCTCACACAGCCACTCGGTCCCAGGTGTCCTGTGCTCCTGAGACAGGACAAAGGCAAGGGCCCTGTGCCCAGCTGATGCTCCACGATGTTGAAGAGAATTTGAGATTTGGGAGCTCTGGGGACGGCCATTCTTTAAACACTATGAAACGAACAGGGGAAAGCTCCCTTACAGATCACCATGAAAAAGGTGAAGGCAGCTGGCCAAACAGGCATGGTTTGGTGGGGATGGCCCTTCCTTCCCAGAGCAGTTTCCTGTGCAAGAGTCTCCATTGCTTCCTCCCTAGGCTTCATAAGGATTGGGGCGGGAGGGTTTGCATGGTCAGCCTCAGGGTCCCTTGGCTGCCAGTGCACCCCAGTAGGCCCTGAACTCTCAGTAAGGCCCCTCAGCAGGCCTGAGAAATCCACCAACCCCAAGTTCAGTTTACAAGCAGCCTGCTTTGTGTCTCAGGACTGAAAGCTCCAGTGGCCTCCCACAGTGGTCTCTCCCAGGTGACAGAACCACAGGAGGAAGCAGCTGCCTTCCTCCTCGCAAGCCAACACGAGGAAAAAGGCCGGAGTGCTCCAGGAATGAAGACCTAGCTAGCTTGCACACAGCCCGAGTGCCTTGCCGCAGCCGTGGGGGCCATCACACCTCGCTGTGGAGGCAGGAGTGACGCCTTTTCACTGGCACCCCGACACAGCCTCGCAGGCTTGTTCTGGTTGAGACTAGCCAGCCTGCTGCCAGCCTTTTACAGCCCCGGGAACTGTGGGACCAGACAGGATTTATCTATCACTCGATCAAACTTTGCACATTTGGAGGTAGCCTCTCATCTTAGCTCAAAATACACGACAAGAAGCAGACTCGTCTAAATGAAGGCGTCTTTTGCAGCCATAACTGGCATCTCGCCTCATTATTTCCCAGGAGACTAAAAATTAAAGCAAAGCTTGCTCTCCTAAGGCTATGGCCCCGCCAGCTCAGCAGCGCGTTTCAGCACCAGCTTCGGGGACAGTCGCCATCGGGGGGGAGGGGGCACAAACTGGCCCGAATCACCCAGGTGCTCCCCCTCTACCCGAGGTAGGTGTCCTGGCGTCAGGAAAGCAGAGGGCTTCTGCGAACCCCCGCCAAAAACACTGCTCCAAACAAAATGATGAGTGGTAACGCCATCTATCCCATATGGTCCTCTGCACTGGGGACGTCCCTTGTCCAGAGGACAGCAATTACTCTACGCCCTGAGGATGCAGGAGGGTCCTCTAGGAGGCTCGGCCCGCCGCGACCCCGGGGATTCGGCTGTGACACCCCGCGGTGGTGCACCTTTCGGCCCCCGCCACATAGAACCACAGGTCTTTGTGTCGCGTGTCGCGGCACCTCCAGGGAAGACCCAGGAGCCAAAATGTCTCTCTAGTTCCGAGACTTTGGATTTCGGCCCGGCTCGCACAGAGCTGGAGGGGCCTGGGCCGAGGTTCTCCGACGAGGCGCCGCGCCCTCCCAGGGGCTCGGACGCCACTTACCGCAGCTAGCACGCAGCCTGTGCCGCTCAGACGCGGGCTGAGTCCCCGGCGCGGCGCTCGAGGGGGGGCGCCAGGCCAAGTGGCATCGCGCGCCCCGGGCTAGGTGCAAACGCGCCCCGCGTGGCCGCCCGCGGGGTCCCCGGGCCACAGAAGATTGTGCGCGTCTGGGGAGGAAGGGGGCGCGGCGCGGCACCCAAGTCACAGCAAAGCCACCCGCTCGCGGGGCTCCCGGTCTGTGCAGCGGGCCCAGGGGGTGCAAGGCGGTGACCCCCAACCTTAGCCTGCTGCGCCACACTGGCCGCACCCACTCTCGCGCACCCACTCCGCAGCAGGTCTCCTCCCGCGCCGGGAGGGGCCGGGAAATCCCGCCCGCCGCCGCCGACGTCACTGGTGCGTCACTGGGGCTCCCGCGCCGGGTTCCGCGCCCCCTCGCCCCTCGCCTCCCCCCCCCCCCCCCCCCCCCCCCCCCCCGAGACCCGCCCTCCCGGGGCGCGCGCATCCGGAAGAGTTCACGGCTCCGGGGCAGATACCCGCGTGTAGAGTGGGGACGGCCAGCTCAGGATACTTCACCTGGGGACACTTAGGGAGCCTCACGCCGAGGAAGGTGGGCGCTGCGAGCGCAGAAGCCTAACACCTGGAAATGCGCACCGTCCTTAAGCCGACGTCGCTAAGCAACGTGGGCAAGACCGCCACGCGACGGGGCTGGGCAGAGCAGCTGCCTCCCAGCCAGCCACTGGAGTGCAAATGGACAGCAGGGCGCTGCTGGCTGCCGCGGGGAATCCTGGCGGCTCCCAGCGGTGAGACGGTCCGGTCGTGGCTGGCCAGGCCTCGCCCTAATGGAATTGTGTCTTGTGATTCTCATTGTAAACCGATGAATTACCACACTCCTCTTCCTTGAGGGAGAAGCGACTTCAGTCACGTCCCTTTTCCAACTCTCATAAAATGACACAAAGCCCTCTGAAGACAGAAGCCCGGAAAACATTTCGAGCAGAGTTTCTAAGATGCGAAGAGAAGGAGGCCGTGTTACTTCTGTCTGTAAACACCTTTGACAGGGAGATTTCTTGAAAATCTTCCTCCTATCCACCTTCAGCGACCATTTCCTGGAGTGACACTGGACAGGGTACCTCAGATTTTCACAGATCTAGCTCACGTTTCTCACTGTAGGCTGGGCAAAGGTGCACCTTGGCGACGTGGAGCTGCCCCAAGAGGCCAGAAAGGCCGGCTGGGGCAGAAAATCACTCCAATTGTCTTTATAGCTCTGAGGAGTCCCCCTGGGTTCCCAGAATTAAACTATGACGCAACGATTTAGCCAGCAATGCTCACAGCACAGAGGCTGTTCGAGTGAGAAAGACCAGAGATACTGCAGTTGGAAATTCCAGCAGCACAAAACGTGTTCACTATTGCACTCTCTGATCCAGCGTCTCTCCTGCAATCCTTGGCTGAGTAGCACACTCTTCCCCCAAACTCGCTGCATCAAAGCTGAGCTTAGGTTTCCTTTTATGAGCATTCTAAGGCTTTTGGTGCCAGCTGTTCAGTTGTAAGGGCTGTCAATAGATAAACTCTCTGGTTGACTGGACAGTTGCTGGAACACCCCAGTCTCTCAGGCCCTATTTTGTCTTACACACATACAGACCAATGTTCAGCCTCTAGGGCTCTGGAGGGCAAGTTTACTTCCTTTGGACCACTCTAACAAAGATCTCATCCCCTTCCAGAAGCAGCCATTCTGGAGGACCAAACCTGTAACACGTGGGCCTCTGGGGGACATAAAACACCCTAAGTATAGCATGATCAAGGACAGAAAGAACAGAATACTAACTGTAAAATGTTGTGTGCACAGGCTATAGCAGTAGCAGACTCACACTTCTTTGTACAGCTGCTTCTGGTACAGCAGGCAACAAGTGAACTTTTAGTTTCAAAAAGAGATCCAAATTCGAATTTTTCTGTAGATCTAAATGTAGCCGTGCTGACCTCCGAGAGGATGGTTGTGTTCAACTCTGCCATTCTCAACCCTGCCAGTGGCTTAGTCAGTGTTTGCTTTTACTTTTTAAACCCCGGCAACAGAAGAAACTTAAGTTATTCACTCATTATAAAAACTATAGAGTAGATTTTACTAAAATCTTAGAAAACACTATTTTTAAAAACTTTGAATTGGATTTTTAGGTTTTTGAAAACAGTTTGAAAGAGATCAAAATTTGAGTCGGAAAACGCTTCTTGTGATCAGCCAACAGAGGCTGGGGTGAGGCCAGCTTATTTCACATGAAGGATGAGCCAAACTTGCCACAGGCTCATCTCTGAAAAACTCATCTCTCGTGGGCTCTGCTCCTGAGAGGAAAAGCTCTCAGGGCTGCGGGAGGAGGGCCGAGCCAACCCCAGCCTTCAGAGGGTGCACCGGCGTCTCGGAGTTTCCCTCCAACAGCAGCAGGATAGTGCTTTTTGCCCGTGTCTTGTAATGCACACTGCATTTGAGTGTGTATTGCATTTCAGCAACCAGAGCTGCCCGCTGGATCTCGCAATGTATAAAGTGTTGCTCTGATTTGTGGAGTTCTCAGAAAAAAATGGCAAAGCTGTCCAAAATATGAGATACATTTGGGAGCAAATTGAATAATTTTGTCACCTATGTGGGGGCCAAACCCCACTGGTCAGTTAAAGGGTAATCAGCAATGAAAGGGGGGATCCTGAGGTAGATAACCCAATAGAAAGTAAAAATATGGTATTCTTTAGTCTCTACTTACCTTTCCCAACATGGTAGCTCCTCTTCTTTGTCAATTTGGGGCATTAGCAAGTTATCCAAAATAGTGGGAACTAGAGAGCCGGGAAAGGGCTCCAGTGGGCCTCCCCTTTCTGCACCCTGAGATATCCAAACAGGCAGGCAGAGGGAGGACGCGGGTTGCAAGCTTGCACTGATAAAGCGCTGCTGCTGACTTCCCGGGGACAGAAAAACGCTAAACCAGATTGAAAAGCTGCGAAGCAGCACAGATGCAGGCAGAGGAACAGCAGTTGCACCCCTGTGCCTTCTGTCACTGCAGGCACCTGCTGCTCTGCAGCCCTTCCCACTGCAAAGGCTGGAAGATGGGTGGATGCTCATCCCACATGCCTGGCCTGGACCTGCTGCTGGCATTCTTGCCAAGGTGAAACACTTCGATGCCTGTCTTCACACAGATGTCTATCCATCCGTTAGGTGGTAACATCACTTTCTGTCTTTAGAGAGGCTTTCTGCCTCGGCATAGTGATGCATGCATGTTATCCCAGAGCTCAGAGGACTGTGAGTGTCAGGCTAGCCTGGTGGACACAAACCCTCCCTTACAAAACAAGGGCTGGGAATGTAGCTCAGTGGCAGGAGGCTTTCTAAAGTGTTCCTGCCGTTCTCAGAGCACCTCAGTTCCCCCTCCCCAGCACTTACCATGCATTGTAACTTGCCCACAAGCTGAGTGCTACCTGCTGCACTTCCAGTGGTTTCTCACCAGCCTGTAAGGCCCATGAGGCAAGAACAGCTGGATTATATGTATATCATATCTGCAGCTCTATTCTCAATCAGGCCTGCCACAAGAAGGGACAGAAGACACTCTGCTATCTAAAATGAGAGGCTGATCTTGGGACTGAGTTCATTTAAGGACAGGAAAAGTTGAAATATAGAACAAACACTAAAATTAAGGAATGAGAGATGCCTCGTTGTAGAAATTTATAGGGGAACCAAGGAGAACAGATGGGGCTTCTTAAAAAGCCACCATTGTGTGAACTTTCCTGAGAAGACAGGAACAAACATCTCACCTCAGATAGGAACTCAGAGACAGAAACAAATGAGTTCATTCAAGTGTAGCTTGGTGAAGCAATGTGTCTAATTAGGGTTACTTACAGAAGCATGGGTATCACTGAAGGAAGAATCTCCAACTCTTAAGTGTCATCAGGAAGGGGCATGACCTTGTGAGCCTCTCCTCAGAGCAACCATTAACTGTATAAATTCTCTGGCGAGACCCTTCCACAGAAACTGTTAAGGTCAACACACCTAACCTAAGGTTAACACACCTAAGGGAGGCTGGGAGCCTGTTAACTGCTAGGGCAGTGGGGCTTTGTGACCAGCCCACGCCAAGCGACCATTATCTGCCTATAAATCCTCAGGGAAGAGGTGGCGTGTGAATCACTTTCTTCTAGTAACCATTAGCTCTCTAAAAATCCAACGGTAGGGAGGTGCCTGTGTGCTTCTCCTTACCCATGACAGGAAGTTAACGGGCCCCTCTTGTGCAGATCTCCCGAGGGTAATCACAATGGCTTAGAGTTCAAAAACACAAAAGACATGACAGACCCAGAGAGCAGCATTCCCGACACCCCACCCTCTCCTCCAGTTCCTACATCATGTTCATCCCCTTCCGCAATGTTCTGAGACTTACACACAATATAGCTGCCTCACTTAGGGCCAAGCACCCAAAAGTCACTTATTCTTAGGACTTGGGCCAGTCACAAGACTCTGCGGTCATCCCTGCCCACTGTAAGAGGTTTCTCTGACCAAAGATGACAACCCCTGTAATTTATGGGCATAAAAATAAATATTCGTAAGGCAATCTGAAAGGCGCTATGCAAATTAGTCAGTAGGGAGAAAGCTTCCAACTCAGCCCCAGCTTGGTTTCTTTTTTACATCCTGCATAGCAGGTAGTGTCTTCAACAGTATGGCCTTACCATCCAGGCTTGGTGGGCAGTCAACAGCAGTGGCAATGGCCTGTACTATTTAGGGTTTTAGGTTTCATTGGCCAAAAATTAATACGGAAGTATCCTATTCCTACCACTGTAATGTGTGTTCAATTGCTCTATGGCCTCTCGAAGTGCCCTTTCCCACCCTTGCAGTGTGAGTGTGAGTGTGAGTGTGTGTGTGTGAGCTGTGGCAGTTTCTACACAAGGGCTTATTTGCATCCCTTGCTGACAGGCTTTGGCCTATTGGTGACTCTTAGTTACTTTCAAGCCTACATTGAGGCCTTATGGCCAGACTTTAAATGAATTTAGTGATCAGTCTTGGGGTGCCTGAGGGCACATAGCCTGTGTTTTAGTAAGGGCATCTGCTTCTTGGCTTCTGGGAAGACTCAATGGGCTGTGGACTCTTGGACAGAGAACTACTGACCCTGATTCCTGTTGAACTCTGTGTTCCCTCCCACACTAGGTCATCCGTGAAGCTGGACTAAGACCCAGCTTAAGTGCAGACTAATAACAAACATGACTGGCTGACTGATGCACAGAACAGATACAACAATCTCAGAGTCACAAGAGGGAAAACTATGTGATCACTGATGCAAAGTTCTAGAAAATCAGAATTATACCTAGATGCCAGTAATCAACACATCAGTTCGTGGGCAACTGACAGAGACCATCTGCAAAGG